TAGGTGGGTAGGTGGGTAGGTGGGTAGGTGGGTAGGTAGGTAGGTGGGTAGGCGGATAGGTGGGTTGTTGGGTAAGAATAAGTAAAGGTCTTTACCAACATATTCAACGTAGGTAGTTCTTTCACTTGAAGTACTCGGCTATGGATGGCACCCGACAGTGCACGCACTTATCGTTGCCATAGTAACATTGATTCAACTTAAATGTACATTTCAGAAGCTTTAATCTAAAGCAATAGTTGGTGCGAATTTCAAGTTATCCTAATCACGTGCGTTTATCTATCTTAGTGCGTGCGGAATATCACTCATATATTTACAAATATTTACAATTTATTTTTAAAATGCTTTGGAATTCAAAACATTGGTGTTATTCATCTTGGACATTCTTTACACTACAGTTGACTTTTGCAAACGATTTGCAAAATGTCTGTACAYGTTAGTCATAGAACACAGCGGTATCTTACAAATGAGAAAAGGGACTATCAATCACTATTAATTACTGTTTCAACATTGGTCATGTACTATCCTTTTTATTGCGTGTATGTTATTGTCAGATACATTGTTAGATAAAAGGTCAAAACCATTTGAAGATGATAAATGCGATGAGTTTTGGCGCCTCAAGGGTCTTTCAGTCATTATGTCTTGTTCATCATAATATGCCTTTTGTGGTATAGTGGTGGTAAACCTAATATATATATATATATATACGGCTAGACCTGTTTATTGAAGTGGGAGGGGGTGGTTTCGCTTTGTTTTGAGCCCAAACAAAGCCTGAGTCACTTTCATATACGGTTTTCCCTTCAGACATGTACTGGAAGACTGTTCAGTGCTCCACCGTTCTTGACGAGCCCACAGGTCAATTGACTTGGAGTAACCTCAAGTCATAATCAGAGCCGCTAATATACTTTTAAATGTACAGCAGTAAAGCCGGAACAGCTGAATAAGAGCTGAATAAGTCAAAGGGATATTATTCAGAATATTTTCATTTCAGATATTTTCCTTGTTCTTCGTCTAAAGTCGATGCCGTAAGTCTTTTCTAGTTTAGCAACATCTGCTCTGTGAAATAAAGCTCTCGTACGAAGTGTTTCATATGGCGCTTTTTTTTTTCTTCTTTTTTTCCTTTTTTTTTTTTTTTACTNCTTTTTTTTTTTTTTTTTTACTGCAGTTATTTTATCTGAGTATCAGTGACACACGGGGGGAAGGACGTATGCCAGGGCATGTTTCCAGGAAAAGGAAGACTTCCGTTGAGGCAAATATGAAAGCGTGATTCATGGATCATCGTCCAGAAGAACAGACCAGGTACTTCTCTTGAGTCACGTCCAAGGCTTGGGTCCAGCAACCTGTTTTGACCTTTAATTTTTCAATAACGTATTTTCATGATGAATCGATCTTACAAATGATGCCTGTGAAATCCCAAGGATCCCAACACGACATGACGTAAGTTTAATATGGACTGCTAAAAGTAAGCATGAAGCCCATTGAACATGTCGACATCACGTCATCGTTTCTCTCTGTTTATGGAACCCTCATCATGAAGCAACCTCTGAACTGACCAAAGCAGCAGGTAGCCCGAGTAAAAATGATGTTCGATCATAACTGCTCGTGGCCTGAAATAAATTTAATGCACATTATCTTGAAACCCCATCTGACTTGTGGTTTGTTCGGTCGGTTCTTTCAAGGGACGATTGGAAAGTCTTCTTTCGTCAATGACCCACAAACAACTAGCGGATTTTAAGCTATAAAACGATTGTCGGTTTAGCTTGAATGACCATGCGGTGCATGCACCCATGTCCTACGGAGAACGCTTGCCGCTTATTGGGCGCGACTGATGCAAGTGTGAATGCCCTCAGGCTGATATATAATGATGGTCCTTTGATTGGTAGGGCTGAATAGACTATCAGAAATAAATATAGTGAAGGTGTAATATCAGCCGCCTGCGTCAGTTAAAGTCATCATTGTCCAATTCTACACTGAAGAATTCGAATATGCCAAAATTGTGGCAAATTTCATCCGATCCAATCCAAGTTCAAGACCTCACACAAGAAAACCAAAACCATTCAATTGCTTAACCCAGTCTAATCCTGGATTAAGTTTTTATACGAATCAAGAAGGAATCAAGAAACGCACGACTCCAAGTCTGTCGCAAAAATCTGTGAAAGGACGACAAGCTCTATCATCTTTTTTATGAGCTTGTAAAATATACTCTATTTGGAACTACAGATATTGATATAGTACGGCTACATCAATAAACCATGAAGAACTTTCCAGAACTTTTATAAAAAGGTATCAACACGCCATCGAAATTCTTGGCATTCGAACATTTTCTAAGCCAGCATTGTAAGACAGTAATGGCCCCATGCTGGTCAATCAAAGGATTGGATATATTATCATAATTGATCAGTAACTAGAATTGAATTACCAAGACACTAATGGCCCCGTACTGGTCAATCAAAGGATTGGATATATTATCATGATTGATCAGTAACTAGAATTGAATTACCAAAACACTAATAGCCCCGTACTGGTCAATCAAATGATCACCGTAGGTCTAGAAACGTATGATACGAATTTAAAGACTTGGCCGGACTTTCCCATCCGCTGTATTTATTTTTTATAATTATTCGGGTGTTGAAATACCATTAACCATAGCCTATTTGCGGCGTTCATAGGTGCTGATGATAGGACGGTTGCACGATGGCGTCATTTGACTCCCACTGCCAAGATGCTCTTCGCGAATTTTCTTTCTTATTTGATTCGTATTCCCTCGTGAGAATAGTAAAAAAGAAAAGAAAAGAAAGTGTGCAAGGGAGTCTGGTAGTAGAGGTCAATGACGCCATCATGCAAACGTCCTATTGTGATTTTTCAATTGGGAAAAAAAAAAAAAAAAAAAAGACCACGCGCGATGTCTAGCCTATTAGGGGCTAGACATTCTTTCGCGTCTGAAGATGTCTAGAAATTAATGGAACACTTCTAGGTTAGACTTACAGGTCACCGTGGGCCTTTTTCGAGTTCCAAAAACGATTGTGCTCTAGGCTCCAGACCAAAGTGCACCATTTCCGCTATCTCAGAGAATCTATATGTTCATGTTGGAGATTGACTAGCTCTACTTTACCTMACCCCTTCAACTAGAGCGCTGCTACACAGGCTAGCGATTCACACAGCAATGACGGATCCAGGGTGGAGTATCGGCGGAGTCTGGACCCCCCTGTTATACCTGACAGATCTTAAGAAAGAAAAACGATGTGCAACTTACCTGTAGCAAAAGTGCAAGATATATATCTTGCAGTCCCTAATCGTACCACATCGTCCGAAAATAATTTGTCATAAAACTTGTAAAAGAGGTGAAAATATACTTTTCAGTCGGATATTTTGACATTCCAATGTGAGCCGTAACGTGGATTCCAAAAAGTGCTCTTTTTCGCAGTCAAATACTATGAGCAAAAAATGCGCGGTTATTCAGAGCCAACAATATACGGGTTCATATTCGGCTCTTTCCAAGTCAAACCGGAGATAGCCATATCAACGGTAACTGAGTAGACTATGCGAGCCAAAATTTGATATTATGGTTGTGTCGGGTCAAGCATAAATCACCTCGAGTCGAGGATACGGGGAAACTGGGTTATAGTAATTAGAGAGTTTTAGATTGACTTTTTTTCTTACCGCAAACGGCAAACGTGACCACGTTTTCATAGTTTTCCCGTATTTTACTTTACCTTTTACAAACCTTCTCACCAAGCGCAAATATTCTTTTGTTTTTCTACTACTTAGACTTTTTTGCGATTCTTTTTAAGCTATTTAAGATAATTTTTAAATGGTCAACTGACGTTTCACGTTTGCCGTGAACGTAAATCTAAAGCTCTCTATTATCCTTTTGTTTCCCCGTAGTCTCGACTCCAACGGTACAAACTCTTTAAAATTTGACAAACAAGAATTTTATTTGTAGAACCGTATTTAATTATATTTCACGAGATATTACCTATACTAATAAAACACTCAACAAAATTAATCGATTCTTATTGGACAAGAGGACTACAATTAAATCCCAAATTGTACTCTGTAGAGTCCAAATTTTTGCTCAATTTCATTGAGCGTATTATAAACAACAAAAACGCACAATCTTCTCGTACAATTCGGAATTTATACAGTCGATCCCAAAAACGTTGTCCAGGTGAAAAGAGGTTTATAGGACAATAAATGTCACGTGTCCATTAAATATTCAGTTTTACGCGCGTGGATKTTTTAATTAGCATACTGATGCAAAAGTAAATTACAGTATTGAAAACTGAATCTGAAAGGAGAATGGTATACCAACATTTGTTTTATGCAAAAACATACCAGGAGATAGCTGCTAATCTGTTTGTAAGTCCTGAAACGGTCAAACGGACGTGTGCGACATTCTACACTGGTGGAGACATTAATCCTTGGCCCGTCGGTCGACCTCTTCAAACAGGAACACTTTTYCCGCATGAAGAKTATATCGTCATGGAGTGTCTTCTACAACGTCCTGAAATGCAATTGAATGAAATAGCGACGAAAATATTCAATACAACTGGCTCTGCTTTTAGTGCCCAAACATTATGCAGAACGGTCCACAGGCTTGGATTCACGCGCAAGAAGGTATGGTACGTGCAGATTGGTTAGCTCATTCTCATAATTACTCAGTCTTGCAGAACGTTCTCTAAGTCTGGTAAGGCTTTCACTAGCTCAGAACGTAGCTCTGAAACGGTCTCTAACACTGGAAAATTGGGTAAACTTCTTACAACGTAGCTAGACTTCTTCTTGGAGTCCAAAACCCGAACTTCTAAAGTCGAAAGAACTTGTTTTGAATTACCCGCCGTCGACATTTTCTGCCACGCATGTGATGAAGCACGTTCAGATTCCTATTTCCACACGCGCGTAAAACTGAATATTTAATGAGACACGTGACATTTATTGTCCTATAAACCTCTTTTCACTTGGACAACGTTTTTGGGATCGACTGTAGATACTCGTACTGTTTTGAAAGTTCTCAAATTGAACTCGCCTAAAATGCTCGTCCAAGTAAAAAGATAATTTTTAAAAAAATGTCCAAATTATTATGGAAAGTATTTATTACTTCCAAAGCACACAGCAACATTCAAAGACATCACTGAAAAGATTGTTGGATTGTTAAAACGTCGTAAAAAAACGCTTTAAGCATCCTTTGCTATATACAAGAATTATTGATTACCCTATAGACCTTTGTCACCGAATGGCCGCTTCTTTACATTAGAGTGACCACAGTAAATCCGTGAAACACTAATTACTAAATAGTACAGAATAGTGCTAGTTAAACAATAGAAAACAATGGAATTTGCATGAAATTGTGCTATTTAGTATTACTAAAGTTTCACGGATTTACTGAGGTCACTCTACAATAATCATTACAAACGATTTTTTTAGATGTATCTCTTTGACATAACAGGGCTTGATAACGTTGATAACGTGTGAGAGTTTTGAATCCCAGTCAAAAATCCTTGACAAAATATGGGGGACTTAAAAATGTCAAAATACACCAAAATGATGCTATAAAGGCCTCCGCCATAATATACATGCATACAATATAACTTTGGTCTTTTATAACTCTGATAATATTTAGTCAAAAGTAGTGCAACTTTTTAAAAAWATATAGTAGAAAGCTGTCAGGTGAAAAACGCCATGATGATAAAGGTCTATAGAATTGGATGAAATTGTTTTAACGAGCGAGCGCCATTTAATGTCAGAGCGAGAAAAGAAGAAAAAAATAAACAACACAAGCTCTATAGGAATGAGACTTTGTAGTTCCAGGACATGCCATTGACTGGGACTCTGTGCTGGAAACGAAACTTGCTTCAAACCATAGTTAATGGAGGGGAATGGTTACGAAACCTATTGTTATAGGTCTTTGTTCACTTTTTTCAAGCGTGACCGTGCACAATCCTTTGTTTTACCATTGTTTTTACCATTGTTGGCAATGGCTGAGTGAACAGACAAAAATCTTTCTTTTGGCAGCTAGTTCAAAAGACTTAAAGATTTATAAGAGATATTTGAATATTCCTTACAACAATCCCATAGACAAAGTTTATGTTTACTTATTTTGCAATTTCAGATGAGCATAAATCAAAAATTGTGCACCGTCAAGACCGGTTCAACATCAAAAGCGAACAAAGACCTGATAACAATAGGTTTCCTAACCATTCCCCTCTATTAACTATGTTCAAACCAGTCGCCTTCAAGTTACCAACTCTTTGAGGTTATTAGACAAACTCCTAAACTTCTGGCAATTAGTTTTGGCTCTACGCGGGCTTAAAGGCATCCATAATCAAGTTATAGACAATGAATTGGTTTTTCTTTGTTCAAGATTTTCCATCGAATACTTTTGTCATCGTCCGTGTTTTGGGGAACGACTGACACTTCTGAATCTTGATGTGGATGGTATATCTAACCTAGGCCTAAAATCAGCAGAATAAAAAAGAAAAAAAAAAAAAAAAAATTGGAGTCAATAATAAATTAGTACATTTAGTTGTTAAGGACTGGCCCTTGGTTGAAACCAGTTTTATCTCTACGGTAGTAAACGGGCACCCTTTGTTAAGCGGATATGTTAAAAAGAAAGGAGCAAGAGAAACAGCAACAATAAAAACGAAGCACTTTTTTCATTTGCTTGATCAGAACTAAGCAACGGGTCTTTTTCATGCGACAGCCACGTTCAGTTGGTTTCGACGATAGATTAAGCCTCGCGTTGCCTCACATTCAAGTGCTTGAGAATGAATTTATAAGGGTTAATTTTAATTAAAAACAACGAATTTCATTGTCATGAAAATAAACATGGCCGCCGTGTGATAAAGATCTATTGACGGAAGAAACACCTAAATATCCGGGAATAAACCGAGCAAACAAAAGCGCTTTCAAAATAGTTAGGAAGATTGTTTCATACCGCCACCCGGTTAGCTCAGTTGGTAAGAGCGTCGGTCTGTTGTGCGGAAGGTCGTGGTTTAAGCCTCGGCCGCACCAACACTCAGGATCGTAAAATAACTGAGGAGAAGGTGCTGCCTTCGTAATTATATCTGCAAATGGTTAGACCTTCAAGTCTTCTCGGACAAGGACTTTAAACCGTAGGCCCTGTCTCCCAACCCTTCCTAACTAACAGTAAATGGGGGACATAAAAGAACCAGTTGAACTATTCGTGTAAGAGTAGGGGATTGCCAATTTGGAGGCATAACATTAATGTACTAAAAAATCACTCATGATTGAAAACTGCACGGCTGCTAATAGCGCCTTAATGTGCAGCCCGTAAAGTCCTCCACTGCATTGTAAAGCGCATTGAGACATTGTGAAATGCGCTATAGAAGAAGCCCATTATTATTATTATACCTCTTTTTATGATGCCAGTAACCTCGTTCAGACGTTCTTCCTTTCTCTTTACACCTATCATTCTCGCTGTCAGATGACTCGCTTAATGAATCACTGCTCGAGTCAGATGATGATGAAGATGATGACGACGATGAGGCCGACGATGAAGAGTCTGATGCAACTCCGGTGGGCTCATCAAGATCTACGTCCATTGCCATTCTGTATACCTCAGGCCGATGTTTCTGGTGAAAATAACCGAACCTTTAAGGGGAAGGTATGTTGTTTTTGTGTTTTGGGGGGGGGGGGGGNGGGGGGGGTGGGGAGGGATTCTAGGTAAATGAGTTTTCCGTGTTCCTGTTATTCTCGCAGAAGTCATTTCTTTATTTACTGTTAATGCTGGGTCGCTGGTTTCTTTCTTATGTTTGTGTGTTTGTTGGTGAGATAAAAAACCATAAAAAAGCCTCATATGGAGTTGTGCCCACATATAGAAGGACAGGGAATGCACTGCAGAGCACACGATATATACAGTCAATTCAAAAAATGTTGTCGTCGACCAACTCAAGCCTACGCGACTGGACCGAAAGGAGCTCTGGGTAGTAATCATTGAAGCCGAGTTGACTCCATAATTTTATCTGGCTAGTTATGCCTGGTTTACAGCACGAACCTTCGTAGGCGAGCGGGAAGTGTTGAAGGAGAAGTTTTTTTAATGCCTTCATATCTTCGGAATGGTGAAATGAATCATAACTACTTTTGTTTTTCTTTCCCTAAACCCAAAGACATGCATTTGATGGATTGTTTCTCGCCATTATTATCTTATTACTAGCGGGAACAATTTATTCAGAACGAATATTAAACCGCTTCAGTGATTTTTACCCATATTCCTTTCGGTCCAGTCGCGTAGGCTTGAGCCGGTCGACGACAACGTTTTTTGAATTGACTGTATGCACCGTGATTGACGACTACAACACATATTAATTGTCTGTTAGTGAAATCTGTACATTCATAGTTCAATTAATTCACCTTAAGTTTTTTTAACCATTTCTTTGATAGTCTTGGTCGACCTCTGCCAAGAGAATTAAAAGCAAAATTACAATGAAAATGCGTTACAATCAAACCTTGCTCAAGCATGTGCAACGTCATTTGGTGTCGTATTTTTAAACGTTTGCATTCAGTTTGTATTAAATAATTGGTTACACATTATGCTCATGGTTAACCCATTTTTTAAAACCCAAAAAATTTTGAAACTCAAAAAAAAAAAGATCAGGAAAATTTATCAAGCCCCCAGCCTCTAACAAGCCCCCCTTCTAATAAGTACATGGTCCAGAAGCACTGTTTAGTAAGAGAATAGGCCCACAGGGAGGTTTAGTAGAGGAAATGCTTGAGCAGGGAAGCACCGGTAGCTTGAGCTGCTTATGCACTACCTCTCACCAATGCAGCCCAAGTTTGAGTCCTGCCGATCTCGATGTGTATGTGAGCAGAGTTGTTTGTTGGTTCTTTCCTGTGCTTCGAGGGTTTTTCTCTGGGATCTCCAGGTTTTCTCCCTTCACAAAAATCAACAACTAAATTCTAATTCGATCTTTGGGCTTTAACCTAGTTTGGAGCCTAGCTCTGTTGTGATTGTCCCACGCTGTGATACAACAGCGAAAGCTAGTAGATTTTTAGAAATATGTGTCTGTTTTTCACTTGAAAGCATACAGTACATTACCTTACTGTTTTATGCCAAACTACAGGAAAATTAGTGACAGAGCAAAAATTCTGAGTGACAGCAATTGTAGTGTCCAGATTGATAACAACATGCCACCATCCACCTGGAACAAAAACTGTTTCCCCGGGACACTGGAGAATCTCAATCTGTTGGAAACAAGCATAATGTCTTTGTATAAGAAATATCATTAAATCAAATGCAATAATATAGTGTTTGGGTTCCCTGTGTAATAATGCAATATATATAGTACGTGTACTTAGTAAAAATATACAGGTGATTATTGAAAATCTTGCGCGCTGATTGGTCAAGAAACTCACACTATCACACGATAATCACCTTCAGAGATAATCCAAAATGGTGGACAGCTGCTTTGTTGCTGTTACCGGAAAAAWTTTTTTTCATCTTTTTTTTCTTTTTTTTGAAAAAATCACCTGTGTATTTATACTAAAACAATTATTTGACTCAGCCTCCCTGAATATCAGGGAATATTTACCTTGCCACTCAAAGACTCGAGTCTTGGTAAATATTCCCCGATATTCACTTCGCCTTTGGCGAATAATTGTTAAATATACATATGTATACATACACAGGGGGGAACAAGATTTTTGCCTTGGGGAAGTGGGGAGGGAGGGCAAAACCTGTTTTCAGAACATTGGTAAAAGTGAACTTATCACATGAATACTTAGGTGTTTGGGTTTGTAAATAAGTATGAGTATGGAGGGGCAGATTAATACCCTTTGCCTCCCTGGCCATGACCCTTCATATGTAGTGCAGTTGTGGCTATACAACCAAATAACATTAACATAACGTAACTGAGTATATGAATAAATATTACTGAACCATGTAATAACCAAATATAACAATGACTGCAGAGATGGGAATAGTGGCTGGGAGACTRTAGCCCCCAAAMCCCCCCTCACCCCCCAAATACTTTTGCAGCCTTATTTTAAGTTACTTGTTTGCTATTTTAAATATCAATAGCCAATGCAATAAATATGTTGTATATGCCCCTCAAAACAGGAGTTACAAACTGCACTTTCAAGGGCCTCAGTTTAAAACTTTTTTGCTGGGCACGTCCCTGAACCCCAGCCCTCTAGGTACTGCTGCCTTTGGTGGTCATTAACCCCTCTCCCCCCCCCCTGACAATAAAAATTAAACCCTGCAGTCCCTGTATACAGTTACCCATGCTTACCGGTTTATATTCTTTTGGCCAGGAAGGTAGCTGAGTACGTGGATAAATATTATTGAACCACGTAATACCCTCATCTCTCTGACTCCCTCCTTCACTGACTGCGACTTTCAAGAGGTCACGAGGAACATTGGTGGGAAACATTGCCCAACGCTTGTGACCAGACACTAAACTATTCCAGGCACTAGTACCAAGAGGRTCAATGTGTATACCAGTACCTGACCGTCCTGGACCCATGACAAACCATCTGGGAAAAAAATCATATTCATATGCATTATATACTGCATGTGTGTGGTGGGGTGGACAGCAGAGATTAGGAAGAGTTTCGGCATGAGGAGAGTATATTGTGTAGTACAAGAAAATACCTACTATACCTCCCTCAGTTGACAAATTGTAAATTTTAAAGATGGGAAAGAATCTTAGGGTGTATTAAAGAAAAGAGAGTCACAGGGTCATTGTGCAAAGACAAGTAGCCGTCAGGCTTTACCCTCTCTATATACAATCTCTACCTTTAATCCTTACCTCTCTCTATATAAATAGTCACCTACATACATACACACGTACGTACTTACACAACAAATTGAAATATGGCAGCCAATTTAAATACTGTAACTAATGCTCTGCACTGACTAGCCTCTCATACATGTGAAAATGCTTTTATGTTTCCATGTGAACACCAGGCTAGTCAGTCGCTAGTCGTTGGAGAACAATAGCTATTCAAACTGGTCGTCATATTTCCATTCAGTGCATGGTAACAGACAATTGATACAGCTCAAACCTTATTCTTGTTCACCATAAACAATCAAATAAGCAATATTGCAGAATGTAGATGATGGCTAGTAAACACTAGTGTGGACTGTCACTTTCTATTGACTCCGACGAAGGACTAACGTCCGAAACGTCAGTTCCTATTTTCACTATGGTGTAAAACTTATCAATCTACGATAAGTGTAATATTGCAGCATGGTAATTAATAGCAAAATTGATGTTTGCATTGACTGATACCTGTAAGGAGGCCTTCTTTTTTCTCCAGCATAACGAAACAAATCATCAACAAAAAATCTAGGAATTTCATATTCTTCTTTCAATTTCTTTTTCTTGGGATTCTTTAAGAGAGAAAAAATATTAGAAATTAGATGCAACCTTTTGCATATATTAAAAATTCTACAGTATTTGTTCCATGTTGGCAACCCAGGGGCAAACTTACCAGACCACATCCGAACATAAAAATGTAGCTGGTAATCTATTATTCATTTATCTAAAATTGATGTTGATGACAGCATACATTTACAGCATAAAAGCATTTCCAGAAGAGAAAAAAAAAAATGTTTTAAATAAGTGACCATATTGTCCTCTTTCGGATTCAGTTTATGCCACTAATTTTGGTTTATAAATTTTTAGTCATTAAATGTCTTGTAGTTTCAAATTACCTCTGTTTAAAGTGCACAATATATTAAACCTCTTTAMCTAGTTTGTAATGTTGTTCCATTTCAGACCATGTGTTRTTCCTTTGGGTATCATTTTTTTTCTTTAATGGTTGTGCATGAAAAGCAACATGAATATAACGACTCATAAAAAAGAATTTTCCCAAGTGTATAACACATTGTCTAAATTGCAAAAACATTATGCCCAGGGTAAAGATGTCTTGACTTTTTCAAATGATTTGCTCTTGATTCTACATTATCATTATTCTATGTTATTTACTGATGGAGAAAGAGAACTACTGCATTTCCTTCGTGAGTCCATGCTTAGCAAATCTCTAGAACCTGGTTTCTGCGCAATTAGCTTTTTTTTTTGCAATGCACACTCTGATTGAGTCAACATTTTGRCAACTTTTTTTTCTGCTCACATGCCCTGAATTTGAATTTGAAGGGGGAAAAACATTTTTGATTACGTAAGCCTTTCTCTTTTCACTCTCAGCATTCTGTACATTTAAATCAAAGTATCTAAAACAGAAAGCTGTTTTATATTTCATAAATTGAGCTATACATACATCTGCATATGAGCTATCAAATATATACAGTGGACTGTCATCATTATTGTGTTGTGAGTATTCAAGGTAATGCTTYATCTTCATCTTGACAGAGTATCCATCGTCATCTTCTCCAACCTTAAATTTCTGATTGCCGAACTTTCTTCCCAGTCTTTCAAGCGTCCATTTCTTACATCCTTTCCAGTGTTCCAWAGCATGAGTGAGGACTACAGGAATTCTTGGTCGTTCATATTTCTCAATAAATTCTGAATGGGATACTTTTCTGACATCTACTCTTTGTATGTTATCTTTAACTGATCCTAAACTTAGATCAAAGTTCTTTGCAAAACCAAGTTTTGTCCAGGATGTTTCATCTTTAAGTTCTGAAAAGAAAGAAAGAAAATAAATGGAATATCACAAAAAACAAAAGGTACAACAGAAAACAAAACAAGAAACACATAAGCAACCATGCACCTTGGAAAATAAAACAGATGGTTCTAAAGAAGGCTGCTTATGAGAGTGGTTGCAACTGTATGCTACAACATATACCTATGTAAATGATAGAGGGCACATTGGCTAATTTCCCTTCTTGCATATACATCTATTTCCAGTTCAGGACGGCACTTGCTAAATTTGATTGGGCTGAGAATAATTGTTTGAAGTTATCAAATCCCACACCACAAAACATTTTTTCTGCACTTGCTCATGGAAAGTGCTTTGAATACAGTTGAAATGTAGTTATAGTTTTCCCCAACCATAATATGAGATAAAGTGACAGTGGAAGGAACTACAGGGCTGGAAAAGCTCTTGTGGTCAACTTTAAGTAGAGCTATCATTGATGAGATTGTAAAAATTGTAGGTAATGTGGTCATAGATTATTTTCCAGGTTCTGATTATTTGACTTACTTGGTTACACAGTTTTAAAAAGTTCACATGCCACCCCCACCACCGTATGCAAGTTCACATGCCACTGCCACCAAGTTCCCATGCCGCAAAGAAAGCATTTGTCATTTGTCAAAATAATGTTTTGGGTAATGGATTTGATGACTTCATATAATACTTGAACCAGTGAAATTTGGTGAGAAGCTCACCCAACCGGAAATATTAGTATTGGTAGTAAATGCTCCTTAAACTGTATACTCATTAATGCATTATCAGGCCTTTTATGTTCTCATTGTACTAATACTCCAGTTTTGAGTTCTCTTTGCACAGCCTTAGTCTCATTTGTGGGTTATAATATCCAGCTATTCCAATAATCGTATTGTCCGTAGTACATATATTCCTTACTATACAATGGACCTTAATAAAAGAAAAGAACACATTTGTACACAATCAAGGCTCGTCTCGTAAATATATGTTTTTTTTGTACTAGCTTATACTAAGTCTGGCCATCTGTCTTAGTCTAGCACCTATGGTTATTTACAGATGGTCTGTACTTTTAATTCTGTCATACTTAATTTATTTAATTATATCAATGTAACTTTGAAGTACAAATAAATTGATTGATTGATTGAAAGGCAAACTCGAAATGGGAGTATTTTCGCTAACACATCTTTTTCTAGTCATTTTTTAAATAGAATTTTAAGCCTGCAAAATCGAAAGACCATCACAAGTAAAGACTGCATAAAATATTCTTCCAAAATTTGCATTCCACTTTTGCTTTAATTCTTGCTGTTTGGATCACGGAAATGCGAGTTTTACAGTACATGTATGTAATGATTGCAAGGATTGCTCCTTGCCTCTGTTGAAGTAAAAACAAACACAAACAAAACAAAATAAACATATATAATATATAGGATAAGATATATCAAGGACATGGATTACTGATAAAAAATATTGGCGACGTTGACAGCAAAATAAGAACAGCATGAACACTGTGCTGTACCCAGTTTGCGAAAGTAACACTTCAAAAATTTCTTTCAGACGATCTTACCGGGTCTTGCTTTTCGTTTAACCGCTAAAACTCTTCTTTCGGTCTTAGAATCCATGAATGTGGGTCCTTCTATCCACGATCTACTGTATTTAACCAGTAATTTTCATCCCACAATTACAGGTTCCACATTTTGKTTCTCGAAACAAGGTGCCCCGCTCTGGAATGCGCCCGCGATCAACCACAGGTAACCCGTCCTAGGCCGTTGCCAGGCCAACAGTCAGTTAAACGACTATAGCATAATTTGTAGCATTTTAGTAAGTCCCTTACATTAAAAGAGCATATAGATTATTGATATAGTACTAAGATGTGGAAATCCCTTTTTTGTTTGTTTCTGGCACAGTTTTTATGTTAGGGAGGGACGGTTCAGTATTGCCTTGAAAACGAGGCTATAAAATGTATCAATTGTATTATTTCACTTTACTGACATTTTGAAAAGGCACCAAGTTTTTTTCCCTGCAATAAAGGAATAAAAAATGTCGAATTGGGACTAAAAAACCATAAACTTGGAAATTTATTTTRTTTTACAAGTGGTCTACGACTGTTGGGTAGCCTGAGTTTTGATCAGCGGTATTCGCAAATAGAGCATGCTCTGYGGCGTATTTTGCTCCAGAAAAAGCAGCAAAATGGCGAACAGAGAATAAGGAAAACAAATGATATTTTAGAATTTCTCAAAGCCATTTTAAACCACTTCTAGGAAGATGTGGAATAAACCAGAAGAAGTTCTTCTTGCCAATGCCTTGTGGTAAATAAAATACTTGAAAAAATATTTCATTCGAGGAAAATTTTGAATTTCCTTATACCGAGAACCTCACCAAGCAAGAATCACATATCATTCATATTTCTTGCTCTGATCATTTATTGTCATTTATTTTTGTCTGTGTATTCAGGGCCACAGAAAGAGCAAATCCATATTTTGTATTGCAAAGAAGGAAAGGTCATGGTGGAGGAGGATTGACATCACTTCTTATTGGCACGTTAGATAACGTTTTAGACTCAAAGGTACAATTATCGCATTGCTCTTTTAAATTYATTTAATGTCTTAAGCTTCATTATCTTTTTAACTCGTAAAACATTTAATGAATTCTAAATCTCAGTTTACAGACCTTACACAGTCTATGATAACTGCATATTTTTTTATTGTCAATTTTTTCATTTCACAAGTTTGATAAAAATAAAATTGATAATATCGCTCTGTTTAAAAAAAATGTTTTGTTCCCGTCGAGCTTTTACAACTGTATAAGCTTTTCCCCTATTATTTGTTACCTATTAATGTCTTAATCTTAGTTCTTCAACATGTCTTGAATTCGTACTTTCAATTTTTTWAAATTGAATCATGTTCGTACATTATTATTTCTAGTTTACTGTATATRTATATTTTTTCTTTTTTGGTTTCAGCCCCCTCCATTTCGCATTCTTCTTCAATTRTCAAACTCTGATGTCAGCTATGGTAATTTCAGTATAATATTTATTACTTTCTGCTTTTATTTGGTATTYATTCATTCAAATAGAGCACATGCAGTAAAACCATGAAATAAAATTAAAGTTGATACTGACAAATAGTAGCTATTTAGTGACTAATAGTTGCTACAGTCRTTTGCAACTAAGTGTGAACACCAGACACTAAAACATGTTCTAACTGGCGGTCGAAATGTTGAAGTTAGTCAACCAGAACGTTGAGGTTTGGCGCCAAAGTGCCAGCCTGATGGCAACATCTGTCCAACCGTCCAACGAATCATTACGAAACATACGCGTTCCAGTTGACTAACTTCAATGTTTCGGTCGCCAGTTAGAACATGTTTTAGTGTCTGGTGTTCACGCTTARTTGCAAACGACTGTAGCACTCAACCAGAACATTTATTAAACAAAAGACACAAATGGTCTGTTGTTGCGTATTTGTCTTTGTATGATTAATGTTCTGGTTGAGTGTTAGCAACTATTTTTCACTATGAATAGTGCTATTTGTCAGTATCGCGATTCACTAAATAGTTTCTTATATTTTTGAGACGACAATGTTTTGTGGTATTGCCGTTTCAAAATTAAGGTTTCTGATTGGCTAACAAGCGACGAAAAGGAAAGCTTAAGCGTGCACGCGTCAAATTTTTACGCTTGTTGCTTGCACCATAGCGTGCGCTCGTAAGGAGAATTTCACTTTTAATCAACGAAAATTCGTCAGTTTTTTTTCTTTTTTGTGTGTTAAATTCTTTAGAATCGTGATAGAAAACTAATTATGATTTTGAAGCGACTCCGCCCAATGCCCAATATATTTTCTCCCAACTAGCCGTCAATATTTTGTGGTATTGGCTTCTCAAAATTAAAAAAAATACTTTTGAGAAATGATGCAGAAAAATCAATTAGAAACAAGTTAAGGACTGGGAACACATATATAGAAGGTGTTGTTAATTAATCTTATTTAAATTTTTTTTTCCATGACGAGAAAGAGCACATCAAAATTATAGGCAATCAATATCAAAAATTACGATGACCCCAGTTACCATGTACATTTTTCTTTGTAATTTTTGAGATGTTTGGGAGGTTGCTAAAATAAAGGTATGAAACCCAAAATCTTGAAACTCCAGAAATTTACTAATTTGGATGTACTCTTTCTTGTTATGGTGTTTATTTTCTAACAAACCTTTTTTAACTAGGCTAATTCTAAAAACTCGTTTCCATTCCTCAACTCGTTTCTAAAATGGCCAATTTGTTYTTTTGCCATTTCATTTTGTGTAAAGAAAAATTCATCAACATCATTATCATTAATGCTCATGCTGTGGTAGCTTTGTTTTTATTCATTATGTGTATTTATTTCCAGAATTATGTACAAAAACAACTATTTAAGGAATCCTTAACTTATTTWTATATATTTTATGAAGAATTCTCGAAATATTTCTGAATTGAGAATTTTGCGTTTTTCACGTGACATCATGGCGTTCATAATTCTTGTCCCTTTAATTTAAAGTTCATGTTAATTTTTTTCCAGTATACAAAATGTATAATAAAGCAATTATTGAATTCAGTTATTGYATAATATCGTAAATTATCAAGATCTCGGCTGATAACACAGCCTCGGTCTTGATAATTTACGATATCATGCTCAACCTCATCCAATAATTGCTTAATAGTGAAGTTGACAGCCAGTTCACCACAGAGAATACAACAAAATCAATGAATTAATTACTACAGGCAAAAGTATGACCACATTTAATGTATTYAACAAGCATACTTCTATATGCAAGGGCTTTTGTACGTTAATATGTATAGGTATACACTTAATTAAAAAAACGCTGTCATYCCAAAGGTGATAGGTGATAGGCCATTTCGACATGGAAATGGTTTYGTTGAATACAAAGAACATTGAATCAGTCTCAGCACGAAGGTCCATACTCTTGACAAGAAGAAGAAGCAGAAACACAAGTCATTCCAGCTATTCTTGGATCTTGGAATGAYATWAATCCTATCGCTTTTCRCCTATCGCCGATTGCCTATCGCCTTTGGCAATRACAACGTTCTTTGAATTAGGTGTATCAAGTATTTATCGATAAGAAGCTGGCTGGTTTTAGCATTATAAGGCATGTACAAGCTCATTTGGAAGCCAAAAGCCTGTGCATAGAAATATGGAAATGCATTAAATGTGGTCACGTACTTTTACRTGTTGTGCTGTAAGATGGCAYGTCAATCASCTTTACCCATAAAAGAAAGACAAAYACATGAAATTCTATATWTTTTCYGWYATCTTTGTTTTATTTTGCCCCCTGTCAAGATGGCCACCGTATTGCCGAAGTTGTCCATTACTGTGGGCCCTGTACAGCACATGCARGCTTACACTCTTGTTTTTGTTATGATAATTGATGTTGTTTGATACCATATCTAGTGATTTCAAGTGGCACAACATTCAAGGAAGTAGAGTTAGACTGGGAATGGCTAACAAAATATCTTCTAGAAACTCTTGGTAAGCAATAACTACAGCCAACTCTCACCTTGCAGACACCCCTATATTACGAACACCTTGTTATGGACAGGAGAAAAATCCAGGACAAAAATACTGACAAAGAAATAACCGTATAATTTTTGCTATTGCGGATACTCACTATTACAGACATGAAGTGACTGTCCCGAAGGTGTCCATAGTAATGAGRGTCGACTGTATGTTGTAACTCATTAATTTTTTGAGTATGGCTGGTGCAGCAATGACAGCTTAGTCTGGATATGGAAAATGTGCATGAGTGCTGTGTGCCGTGCAGTCATAAAGCATGCAGGGGTAGGCAGAGCCCGAGAGAAGTGTTAGGAGAAGCATGAYGCATAGCGGACACTTCTCAAGTGTTCTGCAACTCCCCAAGTGCTTTATGACTTCACACAGCACAACAAGTTTTTATTATTTATTTTTATTAAACTGCAAATTACAATAACTATTATTTTTGATTCAAGTGCACTCACATGCTGTGCGATCTCATAAAGCACGAGCTGCCTACCATTCAGAACAGATATTTGTTACAGTAATAGTTATTTCATGAACCCCATAATAATATTATTGCTTTCACTTTATCTCACAGTTAATATTGATAATGAGGATGACATCAAAGATTTTGTAAAAGCAAAGATTGAGAGCCTAGTTGCAAATACAGAAGCTGATGCTGATCAAACCAGTCCACAAGGTATTGTACAGTATGTTGCATGATTGTCACTGGTGTTTTATGTACRAAATGTACATATACACATGCATAGACTGCTTTCCATAACAGTCAAACTAAGAAAATGTGAACACCTAAAATATGTCTGGAATGTCAAACATCGTGTTCTGACCAATCCCATGCGAGAATAAATTCCTTTCTGATTAGCTGTCACACGGGGATTGGTCAGAACATGATGCTTAACATTCCAGACATATTTTATAGGTGCTCACGGTTTTCTTAGTTTGACTGTAAGTCCAATTGACTAATCCAACAGCCAGTTCGTAAATGGTACTCGTCAGTTCTATAGAACTGGTTGACCAAGTTCTAAGAACTAACAAGAAAGGACACACTATTTGAGAACTGGCAGCTTGGACTGGTTGATTTGCCTTGGTGGAAAAGGCTTTAGGTTGAGGCAGCATGAAACGAAATATTCCATTTTAGTGAAAATACACAGGCGATTATTGAAAATGTCACATGCTGATTGGTCGAGAAACTCACACTATCACACGATAATCACCTSCAGCGAAAATCCAAAATGGYGGCCAGCCACTTTGTTGCTGTTACCGGAAAAAAATGTCTTTAATCTTCTTTTTTTGAAAGAATCACCTGTKTATTTATGCTCAAACAATTATTTGCCKCARCCTYGGTGAATATTATCGGAGAATATTTACCTCGCCGCATGAAGACTCGTCCTCGATATTCACKTSGCCTTCGACGAATAATTGTTAAATATTATACTGTATTATGAATTTCTCAATATTGTCCTACATTTAAATACTGTACATTCATTTTTTGACAAATCTTGGTAAAATGACATGCACTTCACTTCACTTCACTTCACTATAGTACGTATATCAAAATATGACAAAATTTGTTTAATTCATCTTTCCTTAGATCATGAATCTACAAAGTTTAAATCAGCCACAAAGAGATTTCACCGTCTATTTAACTTACCAGAAAATGAAAAGCTTGTAAACTGTAAGTGTATATGTCAATACTTCAGTAAATTTATTTTACACATATTTTATATATTTTTYCCATAAGACTATAGCCTAAGACTAGCCATTTTTTTCTATTATAATAGTAATTATACAGCTTCTCATTAATCCCATATAGGTAACTGTCCAATTATTTTCTTCATTGGACAGGCCGGTTGTTGATATGGGATTAATTAGGCAGCTATATAATTAATAGGTAATGGATTTCATGCTCCCCAATCAAGAAATGATTAGACTCAAAAAATTCCTCTGACTGCCAAATTGGACTCATCCAATTTTGTCAGTCCGCGGAATTTTCCTCGTCCAATTATTTCTTAATTGGACAGCATGGAGTCCTATTACATATACTTATACATATTAATTTAATTAATTTTTGCCATTTTTAGATTATTCTTGTAGTTATTGGAAAGGTCGTGTACCCCGTCAAGGCTGGTTATATCTATCTGTCAATCACATGTGTTTTTATTCATTTTTGATGGGAAAAGAAGCTAGACTTGTCATTCATTGGACTGATGTCACAGTAAGTATTTTTATAGCTGCATGGTATTGGTGTCCCATATTGCCGACATACTGTACATGTACTGTAATTGCCTGAAATCTTTTTCTGTGCTCAGTGCATTAATAATAAGAGCATTTGCATGTGTAGTATGGGAAGTGCAGTAAGTGCTCAAGAAATGTGAGAAGCACTTGCCTGTGGATTGTACTTCTTTTTACATTTACATTTACTGCACTGCCTGGAATTTTTTTCTGTGCTCCATGCATTAATAATAAGAGCATCTGCATGTAGTACTGYATTGGAAGTGCAGAAAGCGCTAAAGAAGTGTGAGAAGCACTTGCGCTTCTTTTGCATTTCTTTCATGCTTGCATGACTTCTTGAATATGCTTTATAATTGAAGAAATAGAAAACTCCCACGCGTGCTGTGTGCAGTTATAAAGGAAATGGCAGAACATGAGAGARGTGTTAGGAGAAGCATGATGCATAGCAGAGTGCTTCTTGACACTGCTCGAGCGTTCTGCTAATCYGCAAGTGCTTTACAACTCCACACTTGTAACACAGCAAGCAAGTTTTTTATTTCTTTTATAAAATGCAATGGGTGCATGCATGCTGTGTGCTCTCATAAAGCACATTCTCCCAACCAATCAGAATGCAAGATTTGTAACAGTTATTTAATTTATGATACTGAATAAACGATCCACCTTACTTGTTCAGTTGCTTGAAAGAACCAATAGCATGGCTTTGACTAATGGAATCAAGGTTACCACAAGAGATGGAGAGGTGCGTATTACACAATGTCATATGAATTAAYAGTTTCAAAAAAATTTTACGCAATATAGACCTCTTAGCTTGAGTATAATATGTTAATAATATGTCMCATTTCATATTCTCCCAAAGTATCATTTGTTTGTTTGAAAGTTGTATACACCTAATTGAAAAAACGTTGTTGGGTTCAAAAAAAGGTTATATCATCAAAGCTAAGACYGAAGGGGAGCATGGGAAGACAAACAATTACTGTATGCATGCAGTTTTCTTTTCCTGTGCACATTTTATGCATCATGGCTTTGGCATGTTGTTAATCTAGGTTGACCGACTTTTGCTCTACTGTGCGTTTTTGCATGTCTCCATTAAAACAACTTTTGCACAAGATAATTAAAGTACTGTACCTCATAATYAATCCTACAGGATCTCTTCTTACGTAATTTCAAAACTCTTATGAAATAAATAGGAATAACRGCACTTTCTTTTTGATATTGATTGATATTGATTGAAGTCAACCCAGGATCCTTGTAAAAAGTYAAATCACCAAATAAAGAATACTGTATCTCTATGAGAATTAGCTCAAAATGATCAAAACGTTTGTTTGACATAGCTCACTATAATCATATGATATTTGCTAGAACAAGAAAGAAGGAATTAATATCTCACTACCATTGTTTCTCTTGTTCTTCTGTGTTATGCAGTTTTGCTTTTCTCTGTTGATGCATCCCTCTGAAACTTTTGGTCTAAYGGAGCAGCTGGCAAACTTGGCAATGAGACAGTAAGTTAAATACACACTCGTGTACTTATAATTAAGGAATGGTCAATGCTCAGGGTAGCCAGTCTTTTTGAACCAAAGTCTTTTCGATCCAGGTCTTTTCGAACCAGGTCCAGGTCTTTTCGAACCAYCTAATATACACATTCGATCCACCTATAAAACTAAAGCATATAACACGCCCTATATGCTGTGTACATAGTTAATGTAAAAGAATATAGTTTAAAAAGTTGTCTTGAGCACCGATAAAAGATTATGATCAAAAAAGAAAGTGTATATAGGTGCTTCGAAAAGACCTGGACCTGGTTCGAAAAGACCTGGATCGAAAAGACTTTGGTTCGAAAAGACTGGTATTCATGCTCAGAATATAATTATGATATAATTTACAAATATCCAGTTCCAGATGCACCCCAAAAGTTCTTATACTTTTTAGTCATAGTCATATTTTCATGTACTGTATGTATTCGCAATGTGATGTATGTTTTGTGCAGAGCCCCATTTAAACGAGCTATGCTGAACTGGGCATCTCTGCTTAAATATTGTCCTTATATAAATAAATAAATTAATTAATAAGTAATATATACAGTATGAGTGGCCGTGTGGTATCAGATATACAACCACGAGGCGTAGCCAAGTGATTGTATATCTGATACAACACGGACCTGAATACTGTATATGACTTATCAAACGTCTAGGTTAGTTCCTTTGTGTCATACTAAAATTTTCAAAATTAAAGTGAATTTGGCCAAGAAAATCCAACTTAAAGTTTATGCAAATGAACACAGTTTTGTATCAGATTTACAACACTCTTCACGGTCATGATTTCTGTTGTGTTTTCCTTATTAATTATTCATGAGTTTGATAAGTAGTGAAATATAGGRGTGAAAGCTCAAGTTTGGTGAATACTACTGCTACAGTGAAAGCAGTAGTCAAACTACAGTATGAACACTTATGAGTTTTTTTCATGCCATTGCTTTCTGAAATTTCTACTGACATTTCAAACTCTCTAAAATGAAGCATTTATTGAGTTCAAATTATACACCCAGTGTTCAAAATAAATCTTAATTCAAATCGATTGGCTCAATTGATGATTTACAGTGTGTGTTTAAAGAAAGTTGTCCCAGTTTGAGTGTCCACTGTCAGTATTAACTTTTTATGAATTTGTGTTCTTGGAATTGAATTATTTTACGCTTTTTAGACTGCTGTCAAATGAAGGTTATGAAGAAAACAAATCGTTACCAGCCCTCACAAGGTACCGCATGTACAGATGACTTGCATGTTTAAGATAAGGGGGAAATGAGCATCTACTTTAATTGTATTAATTTTAATTTACAGTGTATTAGAAACTGCTACACAACACTACTCAAACATTAATAGCCAAGACCTCTCAAATCATTGATCGCCSCATGTAAGGGAATCCGGAATCCATGAAATTTTAGCCTTTGGARTCYGRAATCCACCCTTTTGGAATCCKGAATCTGCTACTTTGAAATTCAAAGTMTACACTCAAATGCTATTGCCTCRAACTAGACTGAACTGATGTAGCCCCTCYCCCACTGTGTAACATCTTCACCAAGAATATCTGTCATCAGATGCTGATTCAATCAACTTCTTTGCTTAACACCCCTCCTCCCCTCTGCATAAAATGTACAATTGGAATTCAATATTAGTTTGTACATGTAATATRACTGTTTAATCATGGTTATGTGTTTATAGACCAAGGAGATTAGAACACTAGATCTTTCACATGTAAGCTGATTTTCAATGTTGCAGCTAATCTCGATGAGACAGCATCCATTACATACTGTGCACATTTCCTTATGCAAAATATGCTTGCAGTACTGAAATTTACCAAGTGTCCAACTCTTGCTTATTTTATTTAACAGTAAACGAGGAAAAGTTGTCAAAAAARTACCCAGTTTAAAAAGGGATTTGGATTCAAGAGCTCAGAGTGAAAGTTACAGGTACCTTCTGGAAATCTTATACCCYATTCACACCTAAASGTGTTTAGTTAAACTATGTTTTCATTAGGAAAAAAATTGAGAAACTAGAAACCTACAATATAATAAAACTTTCTAAAATATTATCAGAGCAAGACAAAGGATAGTTTACATGCATTATTTTACCAAATATTGTGCAGTGTTCGTAGATAGTTTTCCAAGCCTGTTTAGTTAAACCACTTTAAAACATGTTTACCGGCATTTGCATTGCTACGCGGCCACCCCAGACAAAAACCACGACGTGCACTTTGCAATAGACTGCCCTCAATCAAACACGTTGACGCCATTTACACGCGTGTGCGATTCAAAAGGCAGCAAAACTTTGGTCGATTGTTTACAAGTATTATGAGCCACACTCACCGGGCCTATCCGTACCGATCCAAACGCATGTAAATGACGTCAACTTGTTTGATTGACGGCAGTCTATTGCACGTCGGGATTTTTATCTGGGGTGGCCGGGTAGCAATGCAAATGCCGGTAARCCTTGGTGTGAATGGGGTATTAGTTGAATTGATCACAAACATCTTATTGCTTGTTATTTCTTTATTCTTTGTTGAAGAAATATAATACAGGAAAAATTCTATATTTGATACTTTGATCAAAACATGTGAGATGTTAAAAGAACATGTCAGGAATGGGTTGGAATGCATGCACAACACGAAGCTGAGTATTTTCCAGCTTTTCAAGTGTTCTCTAAGCATCCCAAGTATTTTCATAAGATTATCAAACTAAGTAAATTCCTCTTATGAAATAACAAATGCATAAATTAATTAAAAATTATGTCAGTGTTTGATAATTAAAAAAATATTCTTATAAAATTTGAAATTCAGGGCATGTGCACAGAAAAATTGTGTGAATGTGATTTTTTGACCAATCAGAGCATGCTTTAAATTTAAATTATTTTATAATTGTCTTTCAGAAACCTATTCAGACTTCCCATTGAAGAAATACTAGACGGTAGCTGTGAGTGTACAGTATGGAGCCCACATAAGAAGGAACTCATTGGAGGCACGCTGTACTGTTCACCAAACTTCTTGTGCTTTAGTAGTCAGGTATTAAATATACCTTAAGTGTCAAGTGACAAGGACTGCGGATCACCATAAAAAGTGGGGGTTGTTGGGAAGGGAGGGTTGAAAATATATTTTAAGAGGCTAGTGTTGGAAAAGGGAAAGAGAAGTTCACAGGTTTTTCATGGGCAAGGAAAATGTGACTTGAGGGAAAACTGGATGGAGTTAGCAAAGATGAAAACTGGAACGACAAGGACTGCGGATCTACCTAAAAAGTTGGGGACGGGGGGGAGTGGAAAACTTACTGTAAGAGCTGACTAGTATGGGAAAAGGGAAAAAGTAGTTCGCAGGTTTTTCATGGACCACGAAAATGTGACTTGAGGGAAAACTGGGTGGAATTAGCAAAGTTGAAAACTGGAAAACTGGTTTGATTTAGCATTACAGTGCATTTCGGGGCTGTTTTAGAAGATGAAATTAAATGACATCTTAGAAATATATCCCCTAAAACAGCCCTAAAATGCACTGCAATGCCAACTTAACCCAGTTTTTCCTCCAACGTAATTTACGAATAGCTAATATCATTACAGTAAATGAATCAAATGGTTAAATACTAAATAGAGCTTTATATAGTCATGTGAATATTGTGTGATTGTTGTCTTTGATAGGTTCATCGGCTTCTTTCTTTGGTAATACCAATGAGGGAAATAACTTTGGTGGAGAAAGTCGACACATCAGCCATCATGCCAAGTGCACTTCACATTACTACCAAATCTAAGGTATACAATCCAATTATSTGAGACATACTAATTTTTGTCAGCACAAGCTAACACACTGGGGCAGATCCAGGATTTTGTTCAGGGAGGGGTGCTGCGCACAATGTTAACCCAGGGAGGGATGCACCCCTTAGGATCAAAGGCAAAAAACACAATTGGTTATCTTCGAAGTAGGAGCACAAAGTGTAACCAGGGAGGGGTGCGTACCCCCTGCACCCCTCCCATGGATCTGCCCCTGCCACATGTAGTGTTCCTACACAATGGTTTTCTGCAACTTGCAACATTTRTTGACAACAAAAAAGAAAATCAAGTCCAGCTACAGTACTGTATCTGGGTAGATGTGTCGGGGGG